CACTTTCTTTCAACCCTGCTGATCTTTTTGTTAGCCGATAACCAGAGCGAAGTTGGAGTGTGACTTTTCTAAAAATAACAAACTCTTGGCAATTCTGTCTGGATTACCTATGGTCCATAAATTAGCAAACAACTACCTACATTGTGTGGATGAGACAACAGCTGAAAGAAACAGAAATAAATGGATTGTAAAATAGTAATAAATCCTGAAAACTGTTTTACTGGCTCCACTGTAGTGATGGACCTTAGATGTCGACGCATCATAGTCAGAGCTGGAACTTTTCTTCAGGATGGACCTATTTATACATTTCCAGATAGCATATATTTATTTTATATATTTATTTATTAAAGAGTTTATTTTTTACTGGGATATGAAGAGAATACAAGCCCCTAACCCCAATGAGAAATCATTTGCAGTGCCAATATATTTACTCTGAGTAGCGCCATGATAAAGAAATGACATTACATTGCAATGCATCCAAAACCTGAACATCCGTATTTCATTGTTTATCAGTTATGGATAAGGTTATATTTTATGCACATACCATTGCCTTGTGACTATCCTCATCCTGGACAGAATGTTTTTGTTTGTTTGTTTGTTTTTTGTTGGTTGGTTGGTTTGGTTTCGGTTTTTTTTACCTATCAGAGTGCCTTACAGATGTGTATTGAATTCAAATGCACATTTAAAAAGAGAATTAAAAATTACTTCACTTTATTTGGTTTACTGTCATTTTTAAATTGAGAGTCTCTTAGCACACTATATGTAATGTTTTAAACCTGCAATAATTGTGGAGAGTGTATTGCAGTAACCTTAAAAGAAAAAGTAGTATTAGCTCTTGAAATCTTGATTCAAATCACAACATGCTTGATTGTTTGGGTTTTTTCTGCCAAATAGTTCCTACTGTCTTTACTAACACACAAATGGCTTTTCTCTGTATTAATTAAAATTTTCTTGTAGGATTCTCATCACTACGTGATGTATTTTAATTATGTTCCCTATCAATGTGTTTAAGGAGAAACAGAGTAAGAAGTTTCTGATATCACTGAATGAAAAGCTTCTGTGAGTGAAGGTTGTTTCTCTACTGAGTACAGAGGAGCCTAAGGAGACTACATTCTTATCTTAATTCCTCTAGGGAATAATCTCAGCATAAGTTTTTGTGTGAAGGCTGGTGGGACAAAGATGAGCTATGCCACTATGCTGGTTACAGCTATACAGCAGGGACAGTGCAGTAATTTACACAAATTCAGGACTGTCACTTATGAAGCACAAACTCATCTGCATGTTGACTAACTGGAAAGTCTCTGCTCTCTGTAAGAATACTAAGGGTTAATGACAGACCCTACATGATTTAGACCTAGGCCTGCTGAAGCTTGCTCTCAGATGATTGCCACCTCCATGCAAAAGGTTGGTTCAGGAAGAGGAGTGCAGGAAAGGCAGTCCAGGAGAGGGCAGCAGTATTTATCCTGTATCAGAGATGGTCTCATGTTTCAGGTGCCAACGCTCCCAGTGGGCTCCAGCTCAAGATAACTCATTTGAGTTCAGTTTTGTTGAAGCATACATGGTTCAAGTGCTGCACATGCGTCATTTATATCAGATCAAGGTGTTAATGAAAAGCATTTTCCAGTATAGAACACCTACTAGAGCCATCACTGTACCAGAACTTCCCAATCTGTAATGAGAAGTGGATAAGCATAGATTACCAATAGACTATGGACAAAATAATTTTACTTTCTGCCAAATAGAAATTGAATGCAGATACACAAAAAAATGTTTCAGCACTTTGTGGCTAGCAATATGTAACTTACTAAGGTTAAAGACTTCATTAAAATTTCCTGAAAAACAGGCAGTGGAAGATCTGCACTGCACTTAATACAGTTTAGTAAAATAATGTTGTAATGCACTTTAAATTGCCATAAAATTGTGATTTTGTGTGTGACACTGACTCCTGTTTGTAACATCAATAACTGAAGACAAAGCTATACGCTATAAATAGAAAAAAATTTCCTCTGCATGTTTAAAAGTAATTTATTCCATGTAAATTGTGTAAAAAACCAGTAGTTTCTGCTCAGGATGTAATTCCCATGCGTTTCTGGCAAACATGCTCAGTGTTTAAATCATACCAATAAGAGACTCCCCTCTTTTTGGGGAGTGAACTGTTAATCCAACTACTTCCAAAGAACTTTGAAGATAGAAGGACTGTTACCATCTCTGTTATTATTATTGTGAATTTTTTTTTGCAGATACGAAACAGTTGAGAACAGTAAATGAGGATAGCTTTAAGTGGTGAATAATTAGCTGAAACTTCTGGACCCGAACACCTAGTCAACGTATAGATGAAGAAGAAGAGTGATATGTGCTTGACATTTTCTTGCCTCTTTTATGTTTTATATATATGCCAATAATCCTTGAACAAAATATAATGGAGCAAGTACGGGGGTGACAAACGACTTCACAAAATCTCCAGAGCACTGAGAAGCTGTCACAGCCTTCTTTTGTGGTTCTGGTATATCGCCATTAAAGAAAGATAACACATTTTCCCATTTAATTTTGCTTGCAGCATTTATTTGCTCTCTGTTACCTTCTGTCCATCATGATCTTCAGATGCAGTTAATTTTTTTCTAGTTTGAAAATGGTGAATGCAAAAGCAACACTTCAAAATAGCTATTTTTGTGTGTCATTAGACTAATAGTTTTAGTTGGTGGTGGTGGTTGGGGTTTTTTGGTGTTTTTTTCACTCCCACTTCAGAAAGCTCAACTGGACAGAGAGGAGGAAGTTGATTTTGTTTAATCGCTAGAATCGATGATCTAGTTTACCTCTCATTACATTTTGCACAGCCCTATCAATTTGAAAGCTGTGGGCTGTTCTAGTAACACAAACAAGGTAATCTTAAGGAGGTGACATCGTTCAAGTTTCAGAGGAAATCTCTGAAGGCAGAGAAAACGTCACATCTTGAAATAAATCCCTGCATGATTTGCCACCTTATTTCTGCCTTCCCTTTTTTCCAGGGAAGGAGAACCATTCAAGGGAGTTATGCAGTCTGCACAGCAGGTGCAGCCCCACTTTCTGTTCCTTGCTGGTTCTCCCAGTAGCTGTACAACTTGGCCCTTTGATCTCAGAGCTGGCTGGAAGTTGAGTGCTCCATGCCAGCTCTGTTCTTCTTCACATATTTTGTTTTTTGCTGCTCTCTTTTCCAAGTTATGTCAGAAATAACTAGAAGATTTTCTAGGAATCTAGGAATAACCTTGTCTTCTGAGCGTATTTGAAGTGAAAATGTTATTTTTAGTAATCTTTGTGTCAGAATGCAGTGGGTAGAATTTTTAGCAGTCTTCTCTGGTAGTCTTCAAGCTGTGATAGTTACAGTATATAGGAGAAACCAAGTGCCTCTGGAAATGGGTATTTTTTATTAGATGAGCTTATGTAATCAGAAAAAGTGGTCAGCTAGCCTAAAAGGCACACAATCCTTTCATTAGTCTGAACCATTTGGGTTTACGTAGAGCAGTTTGGTCCTGTCCATATCTTCATGTTTTCTGTCATAACCTTATTGATGTTATCTTTCATGCTCAGTTGTGACAGTCAGCTTTACTGATTCTGTCTGAAAGTTCAAATCACTGGTATGGCCATGCACTTTGGCAGCACTCTAGGGTTGTGCAGAATTTACCTTCTGGTGTGTGAGAGTCACTTAACAAGTGCATTTTCATCATAGCTTTCATTTCTATTCTATTTTAACTTCTTGGTGTTCTTTGTTAACTCATTTTTCACAACCATCCAATCTTTCTTCAGTAACTTTGTAAAGTTTTACCAAAACATGGGTTTTACTAGCAGCTAGTATGAGCTGTGGGTGTGATTTTATTTTTTTGTTTGTTTAGTTTACCTTACCATGGCTCTAGTTATACCATTACAAAGCATTAGGTTTGTCTTACTCCTTTTTTCTGTACAGCAATGATCTAAACAGAAGTAAGGCTTTTTTATACACCATAAATGCATCTGCACTATTGCCTTAATGTACTGAACCAAGCCTGTGTTATAAATACTGAGAATGCTGTGTTAAGATGCCAAAGTTTTGCTCATCTTGCTCCATGCTGCATGGAGATGCTATCAGCAAGGAGATCTTTTGGAAATCTTCTCTGCATTGGCTCCTTTTGCTCTTCATGTGAGAACTGTTGGCTTCACTGCTGTTAAATCCTCTGCAATTACTTGGTGATGTTTTTTAGAAGTGCAACCATTTGAAGGCTCAAGTTATATGAACATAACAACAGCTGCATGAGATCAGACCATTCTACATCTCCACTGCAGGAGGAAGAGTAAGAATAAGACATATATTCTGGGAGTTCATTGTAGAATCCCAACTAGGATTAGGATCTGAAGCCAGTTCTCCTCTGGATCATTTCCTTTTATGACAGAGAAAAGTGAAGTAAATATTTCACAACATTGAAGAGCATGATGGTGGAATTCTGCGCTTCCTGGATGTCTGCATTGAACTGCACTTTATCAGACATTTATCTTAATTTTCTTTGCAGTAGTATATTCAGCTGTCGTGGTGAAATCATTGCTGTTAGTGTACCTGCTGTCAGTGCACTTGGTGTCAGTGTACATCTGGATGCAGATGTGCCAGTCTCACTACAAGACAATAAATATATTGCTAGAAAGGGAAATAGAACATTCTGAAGTTATGTACCATCAAATTTTTTATCAGGAAAGTTTGGTTTATGTCATTAGTTTTAACTAAGTTTTTGATACAAAGTTTTGCAGCACTTT